GTCCATCTCTGCAGTCTCAGGCACCCCTGCTGTAGGAGGCACGAGTGCCGCAGCAGGTATTGCCTTGAGTTTCCAGAGGTCCGTGATGCGCTTCTGCCGCGCGTCGGTTTGAATCACCATCCGTCGTTTCTGACCTGCATGTTTTGAGACCCCCTTATGGGCTGGTGCACAGTATTTGAGGGCAAACTCGTGTCGTTTTGGCCTCATTACCGGCACCTGCTGAGTAGGCGCGTGTCCCACGGCCGCCGCTGCGCCCTCGTTCCCGGCTTGCGGGGCGACGATGGTCGCCGGCACCAGTCGCCGCTGCCCTTCCTCATGGGTCACGGCCACCTCATTCCCCCTCGTGTCCGTGCGGTTTGTCACGTCTCTGCGGCTGTGTAGTTCTGAGGCTTTGTGCTGTTCAATTTCTGCTGCGCGGCGGGCGATGGCCGCATTCGTGGGCATCGCATTCGCCCCGGCGCTGCGGGTGGGGGCCGCGCTAATGGCCAGCCGCAGCTGGGCAAGGGGCACCGCCACAAAGTCCGCGGGGGGGCGCTGCGCCCCTCCCGCTCCCCTGCCAGGGTGCGCCCCGATTGTTTGGGCGCGGGCGGCGTCGATGGGAGCCAATACATTGACGCTCCAGCGCCCCGTGGTCACGCCATACTCCCAGTCAGCGTCGGTCATCCTTTTGATTTTGTTTCCGTTGGCGCCGAAAGGGATAGAGTCCGCTTCGTACCACTGCCCATCAGCGCATTTCACGAGGGCTGTCCAGTGGTCGGGTGCGTGAACCAGCGCACAGTCACACCCATGGTGTTCCAGGCGCCACTTCAGCTCGCGGCCTGTCAGGTTGCCCGGGCCCTCCATTTCCAGTAGCAGGGGGTGGATTGACACATGTAGCTCCGGCGGTGTGTGTTCATATATCCACCTGTTGAGGGCTTCGGAGGTGAACCACCCCTCCCCCGTATAATGGCCTGCTTCTTCCCCTGCAGGCCAGTGTTCACGCATATAGCGTACCATCGCCTGTCCGGGTATCGCCCGCCTGCCCA